CGTCTTCTGAATGCAGCAGCTGAAAGTAAAGACGGTTTCAGACGGTGCCCTTACTGCATAAAGAGATGTTAGAAATACAGAAATCTTTTGAGAAAAAAAGAAAATATTTGTTTTTATCTGAAAATTTTAAAATAAAGACATCAGCCCATAAAGACAAAATGCTCCTACAAATATGTTGGACAGGTGCCATGATTAGCATAGAAGGAAATCCCTTTGTCTTTATTCATTCAGGAGAAATGCTGCAACATTAGTATTCAATTGCAGTTGTGTTTTTAACTACCTGATGTCAATATTCAGTCTGTTTTTAGGTCTGTGCTGCTTGCTTCCAACTCCTAGGGGAAATATGTGTCTAAGCCGCTAAAGGCTTTACTATGTTTCCAAGCTAGCTAGTTCCAAGCTGCTGCTATGACCTGGCTCAAAGGCCAAAACAAGAAGGGAGACACAGCAGGTATGTAACAGATTCTGTAATATAAATGTATTCAACGCAAAATAAGGTTAAAATCAAATCTTTTATTATGAATTGTGATTTTGCTTCTTGTGCAATTTTAGAGGGAGTGGATGTTTTTCTCTTTTCATATCCAATGTCTTTGTTTAATTAGCAATACACTTTTAGTAGCTGAGAAGGAAATATAATTCATGTCAGAGAGACTCAGCACGATTCTGCACACCAGGAGAATTGAGTCTTGGTCAATTTACCTCTTTTCAATTTACAAACTTATTTGTATGACTCTCTTTCTATTTTGCTACAGCAGTGCTGGATAAGGCTGAAAATCACATCACGATATATCGTTTCATATCAGTCAATGTCAATAACTGATTACTTTTTTGTTTTAAATATCTAATACACTGCCAAATTAGTGATGCAACCTTTTTTTGTTTTATCCACAGTTTTCACTCCATGCTGTTTTTTAAACAGTAAAGAGGAATGGTGGAAAAATGTGAAATGGCTGCTGCACGTTACTCAACAAGTTGTTGCTAGGTAACCAGTGAGTGAGATGCTAGGTAACCAAAGAGGCAGTGAGTTAGTTGATTCCACCAAACTTGCAGAGCTGAAGCCTTTCCACTGCCTACATCCCCCAGAATGCCATGCGGTTCTGGATTGGAGTTCTGTTAAATGATTGAATATTCTATCAGACGTGTTATCTATTGATGTTGATCATGTGTCTATATATCGTTATTGATTTATTGTTCAATCTCTTTTCATTTATCTTCCATTAACAGGTGCACTTCACACTTGCACATCAGTTTGTTTCTCTTGGCAACTAGCAACTATTTTAGTAAACTATGGTAAATATTGCTGAAATTGCTCAAATCTCAGTTTTAACTTTGTTTAATTTAATATTACCTACTTATTTTTTCATATTATACCGTGTTTCCATTTGTTTTGGTTCTGATCGCTATTTTCGTCCAGTCAGCTTGTTCTACATTCTGGAGATTTGGACCCCTACCAACACAACTCTTTGGGTCCTTTAATAGTTTTCAGTCTGCTTAACACTGACCAGAGTTTATTTCCTAGGATTGTCTGCTTTGTTTGGACAGGTGTGAAAGCTCATCTAAACTCTGGTCCAGCCCAAACAGCCCTCAGCTCAGTTGCAAGTGAAGTGTGATGGGGTTTGCTTGCAGTGGGAAAACAGAGGAAATACTGTAGAAGTGATCGGGACATTTTTAAGTCCTTGCAATGCCTTACTCTGTGTCTGTGTAACCACAACATGTCTGAATTTCTTTTTTTGAACTGTTTTGTTCAGTTTGCTGAATAGCTTGTTCTGCTCATACTGGGTGGCCTCATGGGTTAGTGCTGCAAACGAGCTGCAACTGCAGAAGATTGTCCAGGTGGTTTGGTCTGCTTACAGAAGTGTAGCGTAAACATGAACAAAAACCAAATATATTTTTGATTGTAGATAATATTTAAAGTGGCAGTATTATGTAAAGTTTAGTTTTTGGAGCTTTCCATCATGTTATAATTTTATTCCCTGATCAAAAACATACCTGGAGCGTTGCCTTGATTCTTTGATGCATGTTAGAGAAATTCATTAATCTACCATGGCAACCATTCAAGTGTGTAAAAAGGTTGGTGGAACGAAGACGCTCCTCCTTGGATCTGCAGTTTCCGCCTCTCAGAGTATCCCTCCCCAGCTCCTTCAAACCCTCACTCAGCTCCTTCAAACTAGCCAGCAACAATTTGTAAAGAGTTGGTGGAACTGAGCACCTGCTGGGCTCATTATAGGAGCTGCTTCTCAGTCCAGTGCTGGTAAAAACGTTAAATGTTAATAGAAGAGTCATGTTGTGATGACTTCCTGAAGGCGGAGTTTCAGAAAGAACAAGAGCTTTTAAAGAGACAGTGGCACAATATCAAGAACATTAAATTTCTTTTAAGACATATTTGATATCTGTATAGCATTTTTATAACAACTGAAGATTACATAGTTACTTGATTCAGCTTTAAAATGACACTTTGTGCCTGATAAATACATAATGCTGCTCCTTTAACAAATGTATACATATGTAATATTCAGGACAGGTCATGTGTTTTAACTTTAAAATTATAAATAAGAAGTGTCATAAAATTTTTATTATGTATCTAAATCAACTTGTAGGCACATACCAGAAGTTATAACCCTCTCAGATTATTCATTCTTTGAAAATAAATGATGTACTGTGTGAAACTGACATCAAACATTGTCACCTTAAATGTCTTCAAACATATTACATTTCTTTTGTTTGTTTTTTGTTTTCGTTTTTAGCTTACCTACTGAATGTTGGAGTTACAATCAAGGGTAACTCCACTACTAACGTTAATACTAATGGGTACGGTTCTGCTGTCTAAGGACAAAGTAGACTGTGAAGACGAGTCAAACTTTACCGTACAGCAAACATCAGAGGTTAAAAGTGTGCAAATGAAAGATTTGCTCTAAAACCACCTTGCTGACAGTAAATAAAAGGCAGATTTTGTTCGTGCTTCCGAGGTGTTATGGCTGGTTTTCCAAGGAATGAGGGCACGCTTACTGTTCCAGAACTGACTCAGGCTTACATACAACACCCTGTACCACTCTTTGTACACATAAAGAGAAGCCTTAAGTTGATAAAATCCCCTTTTGTTGCAATTACATGAATAAATAGTGAACGTTTTTGCTGCAATTCTAGCTTTAGAAATCTTTTATTTTCCTCCATTATGTTTCACCTAACTGTATGATGCCAAGATAAACAGTAGTGTTTGGGAAAAACCACTGGACAGTCTGACATTACTGACTGATTTTAATTTTGTCAGATGAAAAATAGACATTTTGACCGACCTGCTTCTCCTTTAACCTTATTCTAAAATTAGTTTTAACTCTTGAAAACGCAAAACTTTTTTTTTTATCAATCCGTAATTCCATTTTTTTTAGTGATACTTACGAGTTTGTCACATGTTGGTTTACTTAGTGACATTTTTAAGCATTTTGAACCCTTTAGGACACTATTTCGCTTATTTAAAAAAAAATATCTGTGGATATTTTCAGATGTTTCCTGCTATACTTCAGGCAACTTCCTAATAAATTTATGATAATCAAAAATAACTTTTCAGCATTCTCAGTAAATTCTGCCTGGAGCTGGAGAGGTTACAGCTGCTGCTGTTATGATTCCTACTGGTGAAGAGGAGTGACACGTCTGCCAATAATGAATCTGAGAATGATGTAGGACATGAGAGCTTTAATGAACAGGACTTTGAAAACGACAGCAGGAAGTTGGAGGGTCATTGTGTTCTTGACTTCAGCGTCACTTTTAAGTAGAGTTTCATAGCAACTTCCTGCAAATGTGAGGTAGTAAAGATAAAAGTGGTTTGAGGGCACACTTGTATCTTTATTGTATCTATGCTTTTTTTTTATTTACCATCATTACAGTACATGATAAAATATGCAAATGACAAAGATGGCTACAACACCCACTGCAGGAACAGCTCTGGAAAAAATAAGACACCACTTAAAATGATCAATTTTTCTGACTTTACTTTTTATAGGTATATGTTTGCGTAAAATGGACATTGTTCTTTTATTCTGTGAAATATCGACATGTCTCTGAAATTCCAAGCAAAGACTTGGTATTATTTGCAGAAAATGAGAAATGATCAAAATAACGAAAAATATGCAGTGCTTTCAGACCTCAAATAATGCAAAGAAAACAAGTTTATATTCAACAATACTAATGTTTTAACACAGGAAGAGTTCAGAAATCAACATTTGGTGGAATAACAGTGAAGTTTTCAATGGGGTTCAGTGCAGTGGTCTCTTAATTTTTTCTAGAGCTGTTTATATTCCAAACTGTAACTCAAAAGTTTTTGTGAGCACTGAAAACACTGCCAGTGTTTTTGTGCAGCCATTTTCATTAACTCCAATATCCATGTATGGCATGTTCTCTTGTCTTACCCATTCTGAAGAGCGGTTAGGAGGACAGGCCTTTGTGCAGTAAGTGAAGGATCACTAAATGTATACAGACACTAATCAAATCCTACAATTATCAGGGACGAATCTAATTTAGAAAAAAATAAAGAAGACATTTTGTAAGGTGAAATTTTCATCTCAGAGAATAAAAATGTTAAAGTAAAAAAAAATAAAAAATCTACGTGGAATGTTTCTGCAAAATAAAGATCACTATGTTTTACTGCTTTTTTACAAATCTTTATCAGTGGTCCCAAAAAATGTGCAGGGCACTTTTCATGCAAATTATGGTCAAAGTGTTGTTTGTTGTTCTTTGTTAGAGAAGCAGCTCTGCTTGCTAATGAGTGTGATGAAAGCCACAGGTTCTTTCCACCAACTATAAATGAAAAAAAAAATCAACTAAAAAGGAACATGTTGAGTAAAATCCTAACGCAGCCAGGTATGCGAATGGCAGGCGTGTGATTGTAGGAGAAGCTCATCAAGACTCAAAGGATGACAGACTCCGCCATCTGCACACGGATGTCACGCATGACTGGCCGGTAAAAAGTTGTAAATGATGAGAAACTTTTTATTTTTTTATTTTCACAGTTTGGGGAGTAAAGGCGCGGAGAGGCAGCTGTGGGACGAATACAGCGTGGGTGTGGGTTGCAGTGGAGCGAGGCCTTTCATGGAGAGATAAGGTGAGGCGGCGGTGGGCACCGCTGCAACGGCTGTCACGCCGCGCGTATGCTTTGTGTACACACAGGGTGTTAGGAGCTGTCAAACAGGTAAGGCTCAAGCTTGATCTGAGCCATGATTGATCGCACAAGTTCAGGTGGAGTTCACGGGAGGTCTCGGGTATCATTGGTGAAATGAGTGACAGACACAAAATAGGGTGATGGAATATTATCAGGAAGCCATTTGTAATGCGGGGCGAGCCTGGATCTCTGAGGGGTGTTGTCTCTCTGAAATGAAGTCATCCATCACCTCAGCTTCATATTTGATTAGGTCATGAGAGGCTTTTAAAAGAGAAACGAGCCGTTGTGGGGCAACAACCACATATGGAGGATGTGGTGTGAAAGAATGCTTTAGAAAAATATTGTTTTAGGTGTAAAGAGTATGAAGAAAACAGTTTTAGAATAAAAGCCTGGTGTGGAGTAAACTGAAACAACTTTCACTTTCCTTTTCCGTCACTTCTAGTAAAGGAGCTATGGTAATCCTTTGTTTTATTTTCCTGTATGTATGACTTTTGATTGGCTTTGCTTTTGGAGTTTTGGTAAATTCCTAAAAATTTTTATAGATATAAGAGTAAAGACTCTGCTTGACTAGTTGTAGTTTTTGGTATGGTGACATGGCTCAGTGCCCAGGGTGACATCATGTCAGGGGTGGCACACTTGAAACAACAAAAACGTTATCAATCTTTTTATTCTTGAACACGTTTTTGATGGCCAGTGGTTGCCCCATTAGACTGTAAGCACTAAAGCGCTAAAGAAAATGGCCTTTTATTGTTATAACAGACTTATTTTTTTATCTTAAATATTTAGCCTAATCAAAGATAATTGTGAAGTCGATTTCATACGGTGTTTTGTCTTTCACAATAAAATTTTGTTTTATAACCTAATACAAATAAATGGACCGGAGAAACTTGGACAAAGTTATTTTTAATGATTTGTTAAACTTTTATTTATGAAAATGGGTAATCCTAGTGTTCTAGTTTCATTCTTGGAAACCAGACATATTCTCTCCTCTCTTGTTGTAAGTCTTATTGTTTCACCTCAAATAAGTACTTAAATATAAATATAAGTAATAACTTGTGGATTGTTCGCAATGTGCAGATAAGTGTGAAGGTAACAGTCATTGTTGTGAGTGTAAAGGCCGTTAAAAGGTTAAAACATTTTTGTATTAAAAGTCATTTTAAAGTTCAGTTTTTAATGATGTATTTAGATGAAATGTCAATTTTTTTTTTATCATATATGCACTTTTTCCTTCCACTCAACTTTCTATCCATATAGTTGCAACACTGTGTGCTTCCACCTTCCTTAGCAATTACGTTTTATAGATCATTGTGTTCTTAAAAAGTATTTTTTTTTCCCAGGTAACTTAAAAGAAATGTTTCGAAATACATAATTGTGTGTGAAATGCATTTGACGGAGTTGCATGTTGTAATGAATATAAATTAGCTTTTCAATAATATTTTAATTTATTGAAATGCACCTGAATGTTCTTACAACCGGCGTGTGATTCGAGCAACCTCATTCATTTTTCTTTCTTTCTTTTCTTTTCTTTTTTTTTGAGATATTTCAAACTTCTTCCAGCGAGCAGAGCGGAAGCTGTGAGGCAGAAATGCCAGAGAAAAGCAGAGAGTGACAGAAAGCAGCCGCGGCACACACAGCCCCGGCTCCCGTGTCTTTTCTCTGGCCTCTGTTCCTTTAATAAACTCATGGTTATCTAGTGTAACAAATGTCTCGCTGCCATCATCAAGTCCAGGCGAGGAGGGAGGAGTTTTTAATGTTCAGTTTGTTCTATGGATCGATGTCTGCTGGCATCGCCTCTCCCCCTCCGCCTGCACCGTGCGTAATCCACCGTACCATTACCAGAACGCCTTTTCTTCATTTTTACGCGCACATTTTTATCCACGGACTCAAGAAAACCACAACAGCCGCTCTGCCCGGACTCTCTGACTGACTGACACACATCGATCAACGTACAAATGATGGACAAAAGCGGATGGTGAAAAGAGACGACTCGCAGCCCGGAGGAAGAGGAAGAAGAGGAAGGTGAACAGAGAGAGCCCGCGGTTGAAACATCTGCTCTTCGCTTTTGAAAACGATCCCTTCTTTGGATTCTTTTCTTTCTTCCTTTTTCTTTTTTTGTTAAAAAAAAACGCACCGAGCAACTCGGGAAGGGAGAAATAGAGACTTAACACACACTCCGCACTCTCTGCTCCGTGTGCGTGCGGTTGAGTGTGTGTGTGTGCGCGCGTGTGTATGCATGGACTATCGTACAGACCGCATTCAGATTTCACCTGGACACAGTGAAGTGAGCTGCGACTCCAGAAAGAGAAAGAAAAGCAAAAATGCCACGGAGGAAGCAGCAGGCTCCCAAACGGGCTGCGGGTAAGCGACAAAAAGAAAACCTTAACACGAGTGGGATTTTTTTTTCTTTTCTGTGTGGAAACCGGTTTTAAACACAATTCAAACTTTAATCCTCCTTCACCCCTCCGCCTCCTTCCTCCTGTGTGTCCCAAGGAGCCCCCAGCTAAGCAGGAATTTTGTAGTTTATTCAGGACAGAGTTATATAACTGTAAATAATCTGAACGCAGACTCCGAACAGCTGTATTTTCTTCAGGGACCTCCGGATGGGACCCATCAGGGTTCACTTTGGGCTCAGGTCCAATGTTACAGCAGCAAGGTGGGGGGTACATGTAGCATGAAATAAATTATCCAAACAGTTATGAGGGGGGGAAATAATATGATGATAAATAAAGTCATGAGCTTGGTAAACAATAAATAAAATGCATAACTTAATCTAATTGTTTTTCTTAAACCTAAAGCTGCTAAAGTAAATAATACTGATTTGTACTTTAGGAATGATATATAAACATATAATATTTATTCATTGTTATTCTGATTAGGAGGATTAGACTTAAGCAGAAATATAAAAACCTGATACAGAACTAAGTGATAGTTTTTTTTGCAGAATGTCAAACAGTTATGTTATTGTCTGTCTTCTTGAGCAGCAGTGGAAATATAATAATATGCTACTGGCCGGGTAATTAGTTGGAATATCTGCTGCTTTAACCAGCAAGCAGTTTTTAGTTTTTACTTTCACAATTGTAAATATTTACAAAATTAGAATATTTGTTTTTTTGTAAGTGAATGAAAAGTGTAGTTCCCTTCTTTTAGTCAGCTGACTGGCAGTGTGCAGCAGCAGGCGGGGGAGGGAAAGGTTAAGGTTTCTCTATTAACGTGCAAAGTCGGGGAAAAAATCTGGTCACTTTGGTTCTTTCTCTTTTGCAGATCGTAGGAACGTATTCAGAGAAAATTTAATTGATTTGAAAAGTTGATACCTGAATAACCGGCCCATGTCTAAAAAAAGAGTTAAAGGCATAATTGTTGTTTATTCCTTCCTTTATGATGCTAAAAGCTGCCGCAGGCCGTTTATTCACTCACTGTTTAGAAACTTTTTCTCTCAGCTGAATAAAAAACAACAAAATCTCTGAGGGTGTTTCGATTTGACCCGCATGGAGAAGAGAGGGGCTGAAAGATGTGCTGCTGCCGCTGTATCCGTAGCAGATGAACTCTGTATGAACTCTTCATAATCTTATGGACAAATGGAGAATGGGTTGCACTCCCTCACACACACAGACACACTTGCACACTTACTTACGTGAGGTCCATCCAGGAGAAAAAGAGTAAAGCACACCTCTACAACACACCGGATTTGTTTTTTTTTGTTTTTTTTTTTGTATTTTTGTACAGAAGGCCACATCGTTTGCTTGTGGAACTCATCATCTTCATCTTCTGATGCTTTTTTTATGATCTGGTGTTTACAGCAATAGAAAAAAGAAATGTAGAAAAATTCTGACCACAGTCACACAACTCAACGTAACACCGCCTCTTTCATTTCCTGCACTCCATTTTTCCTGAAACTTCCCTTAAAACAAACAGCTTCAGCAGTGATGGAGCTGCTGGATTAAACCCAGATTGATCAAGGGCATTCCGGCGTTCTGAGGATGCAATTACTTGGTTGTGGTGCGTCGAGGAGTTATCAGTCTTTATTACGGCTGCGGATGTAGCAACCAGATGGCGATTGTTCTCTGCCAAATAATAGCATCTCTTTGCAGCCGCTTAAGATACTGAGACCCTTATCTGCCCGACACACTCTCAGTTTACACACACGCTCGCTCACATCGCCATACATTCGCACAGTAAATATTTTTCCTCCTCCCCCCACCTCACACCCCGAGGCTTCGGAAAAGCCGCCTTTTCTGCGAAACAATGCCCCCAGCTTTTATTCGGAGAACTTTTGAGAAGATGCCTAAGTGATCCCTTTACACGCTCTCAGCTGCCTCGCCTGTACTCTGGTAAATGTGTCAGCCCTACAGAGAAATAAGCCTTCCAGAAGAGTTTCTTCATTGTTGAGGTAATTGTCTCCTCTTTGACAGGCACATTCATCAGTGGCTTAATGGTCAATCAAAAGTTGGCAGGCAGAGTGTTTTCATTCTTTCCTATCCACTACATTAGGAATACTTAATCAAAATGTCTCCCGGTAATGGCTGTGAAGAGTTCATGACTGACTGATCCGTTGTCTGTGCCGATAGAAAATTAACAGCTCGGCACCGGAGAGATGTGGGCCCGCAGATAAACAAATTGTGCATTAATATTTCATCTTCAAGACCTGGGATGTGCTATCAAGCGGTGGAATATTCCTGGGCTGTGTTGTCATTTTTCTCGCTTTTTTTTTTTTTTTTTTTTTTGCCCCCCCTCCCCTTTTCACTCCCCCCACTACCACTCCCCCTCTTCCCCCCTTCTTCTCTCCTGTATTCTTGAAGGCTCTTTGCAGCTGTAACTCATTTCACTTGATGACTTTACTGGGGTTACAGAGAGTGACGACAAATTGATTACCTGGCAGAGCAAGAACGGAGCGAGGAGAGGCGCGGGCTGACAGTCATGTTATAATAATATGTTTAATG